ATTTTAGCGGAATATCTTCTTTACTACATTACACCTGTCCCCCTTTTCCGTTGTTTTCTTGTGTCAGATTCGATCACCTGTACTGTCGACCAGCCTCCGCATCAAACCTCCAGGTGTCGTGGGTGCTGACCGTTACTTTCATGCTGACCACGCCATACCTATGGACTCTCTGAAGGTGCTCGGTTTGACCAAACAGCTGACGACGACAGTCCTTGCAGAATATGCCACTGCCAACCCATCCAAGTTTTGTTTGATGTCATTGCAAGCTTTTGGTGTTGCGTGTTGTTTACTCTACGCATCGAGGCTCATATTGTAGCTACAAGTGTCGTAGTTTTTCATGACTGGTCTGTTAGTTTTGTTTTAACTGCATCGCTGATGTGGGCGTATGAACATGAGTACTCCAAAATATGTGTGTAAGTACATGTGTGTAGATGTGTGCATGTGAGTGTGTGTGTGTGTGTGTGTGTGTGAGAGAGAGAGAGAGAGAGAGAGAGAGAGAGAGAGAGAGCTATGTGTATGTGTTTGTGTGCATACCTACATTGGGAAATGTTCATTCATGTTATTGCTCGTGAATGTATCTATGCAATCTACGCAACTGTAAACCACAGAGTTTTGACACGTTTGGGGTTCGGAGGAATTCCCCTCTCAAAGCCTTGCAGCATCCCTGCTTGCGTGGTTTCAAAATACGAAATCCAATAATCTGTATATATAAACGAACTCAGCGGGGTGCTTCGTTTGCACATTAGGCTCCATCTTTACCTGTCCAATCGTAGACACTAAAATGGCTAACCCCATCTCATTTACTCACAGATCAATGTCAATCTGATGGGTTCTCGTACTTTTCATTCCATACTCTATGTGGTTAAACACATCGATGCTATAGGTTTACAGAGGAGCTATGAGATCCAAAGTTTTATTTTGTTTCTCTAGTTGCAAGTAACTTTGACAAAATGTTGTTTATTTTTTACTTCATACCCAATAACATTCTGAACAACTACTCCTCTCTCTCTCTCTCTCTCGCTCTCTCTCTCTCTCTCTCTCTCTCTCTCTCTCTCTCTCTCTCTCTCTCTC